GCTAAATACAATAACTTAGCCTATAACTTAGCCTATTTTTTCCTCCCCCCCCCCTTTTTTTTTTTTGAATGAGAATAGGGATGATGCAAAGTTTGAGGATAGAAGATGGGTTGGCGAGCCTAAATATGAAAAATTAATCGTGCCATTCGTCGTTTTAACTTCTAGTCTACCTTTGCTCACCTTCTCCCCCTCCCCCCCGTTTTTTTTTTTTTTTTTTTTGAGCCACAATAGAATGGTTAATTACATATGGGGACAGATGGTGCGAATACAAGAGCGACAATTAGTTAAATGAAGATCTCTTGATCGTCAGGTCCAGGGATAAAGGATTAACCGAACTAGTGATTAATCCTTCATTAGCTTTCTTTGGTTACTGAGATTGAATTCAAAAATAACGAAGCTCTAGTAGGGGTAATGGGAGAGTGATTGCGATTATGATCGAATTTCAGACTTGGCTCCTGTCGTTACTTTCCTCTCCTTGAGAGATCGCTATGTATAGGTGGTACTACCGCACTTGTTTCAAGAAGAAAAGATTGATTGATTGTTTTTTTTTTTTTTTTTGCTTGCTTGCTTGATTGGTTGGGGGGGGGGGGGGGGGGGGGAATGGAGATGACATTATCGCTGTGAACAGTCTAGACTGGCAATTGTGAAAACTGTGAAATAGCAGGTAAACATATTTGAATTACGCAACACTGCAAAATTTGTGTCTCATACTCCAACCCTAACACGAACCACTCCCACTACCCTCCTCTTCTCCATTACGGCTGCCCGTTTTTGCAATTTTGACGGGAGTGCGAGTAACCGCCGCATAGACTGCACTTGAAACTCCTGCTCAGCTCGCTGTCCGCTCTCCGGCGCTTGCGAACCTTCGTCCATCTACCACGGCCAGGGCATGCAACAGGAGGCAATATACCATTTTTGTCAACGTCCTCCTCTCCATCTTCCAATCCAGACTCGGAAATGTCCACCCCCCCATGGACAACTGGTCTTCTTGTACAACCCGCAAACACTAAGTAGCTGCCAAAGGACTTGATTCAATTTAAATACAAAAGAAGTCCTAAGCACATTGACTTGGAAATAGGTTCTTACCACGGCGTTAACTTGAGCTTGCATGTAATTTGAGTATACAAGATGGCAAGAAGGGATCTGATCTGGGTGCTAAACGTTGGGAGAATTTCTCCGCCACAATGAAGTGCGCGCTCTACCCAAGTTTTCCCCTCCAACTCCAGTGTTCGAACTAATGAGTGAATCCTCAATTCAATCAAATTGAATTCTATCTATCTTATGCTTGTCCCTTTGTCGCAGGCGCATCTACATTGGTTTAACCGGTCAGGATCTGTCTAGTACCAGATGGAAGGAGCACACAGTAGCTTAGAAGTCCGTGCTGGTCCGTGCTGGGGTGGTGTGAACTTCGAACTTTGAAGTACTCATCTTGAGGCTCCACTTTCACTCCAGCTCACCTAAACTTATGGCTTTGGTGTCAGCCTGCCAAGCCGTTGGTCGTATGTTGGCGTCTTGTATTCCGCATGCACATGCTTTCATTCAGTAACCGCCGTAGAGTCGTAGACTACAGGCTCTAGTTAAGCCAGGTGGTCACATTGAGTCAGCTGAGATCATGAAAGCATGCACGTGCTTTCATGCAGCTTGCCAAGCCGTGTGGCTGCGTAGGGGATGAGTGTGGTTGGGTACACCGTGTGGCAAGATCTCTGTGCTGGGGTGGGGTGGGGTGAAGTAGCTATCTTGAGGCTTGGCTTTCACACCAGACAAGTAAGCCTTATGGATAGGTGTTGGACCGTGTGAAGCCTTTGGTTGTGTGTTCGAGGCCTTTGGTTGTGTGTTCGAGCCTTTGGTTGTGTGTTCGAGGGCTTCGGTTGTGTGTTCGGGAGGGACTCTCGTATTCGGCATGCAAACACACACTAGTATCAGGGGAGAAGGAGAGAAACCATAGGTCATACTGATGGCTGTACTGATGGGTGAGAAGATATGGTATTAAGAGCTTTGTTGTGATTCCTCTTTGTCTATATGTAGGAAAGAGGATGTTCTATTTCTAAGTGAAGCTCCTTTATGAGATGGTTGTCCCTTTCTTTCTCAAGTTAAAGGGAAAGAGCTCCTGCTCTCAGCGCAAATGCAAAGGGAAAAAAGACCGCAACGGCTCTCCCCTTCTGGAGCTGACCCTTGTCATGAGTGTGCCAACGGATTGTCCACTGTTTTTTGCATCAGATGGTCAGATGACTCAGATGAGCCCTAGTCTCTTGCCTATTTTGCAGAGCTCTTCAAATTGAATTTGTGCTATCTGTTCGATCAACATTCCCCTTTTTTTTTTCTTTTTTTTTTTTTGTGAACCGCCCGGTCTGGTGCTAGGGGTGCTGATGAGATCATGCACCCCTACGCACTAGCACTCCCGGGAAGGCTCCATCTATTATGTAGTGGAGGTCCATTGAATTTCGCTAGGGGTGTACCGGAGGTGAGGTGCTGATAAGTTGTTTTGGGTGGCTTGGGTTGTGGAAGATCTTAGTCGGCTGCAACTCCAACATGAAGGAGGTTGGCTTCGCGACGATATCTCCCTTGGATTTATAGCGATTATTTATTTCTGCCCACTTCTGCCCTATCTAAAGGAACCTGTATCTAATTGTCTAAATGGGTCACGGACGGGCACTCGGATTCCAAAACTTCAAAAGAACACTGTCTGCTAGTCTAAACCGATGGGTTATGAAGGGCAGAAATGACAGGACAGAGTTTACCGAACAGAGACAGTCGAGAGTCCGAAGCTTGTCGTGGTACTGAGATGGACACAACGTCCGATTTTTAGACTCGTCTTGTGTAGCGTTAACACCTCTCGCCTGTGTATGTATTTCTGAGAAATTATATTCTTGTGAAGTTGTGACCTCGCTGAGCTAGTTCCTGAAGGAGGGCTTACTGAAGGAAGGAGGTTTGCGTTCCTCCAGAGGGTGACAGGCGCCTTAAGCATGGGACGAAAATTGCCGACAAGCACCTTCTCTCCGCACCAGTCATGACTCGGAATATCTCTGTTCCATGTCCTTACTTGTACCAGTCTGACCTCGGGTCCCTAGCATCAGGCCTCGAGTGCCTGAGTCCAGAAGTCGATCTGAAAACACGGGTATTCTTGCAGTTACAATGACAGTCACTGTGGCAAACATCCATGAATACCCCTTTTTCATTGTCTACCCTCAGCTAAACCTCCAGAATGAACCAGACGTCATGCAATTGCCAGGAAATGGCAGGAATACGTTTCAGAACCACACCTTGCTTCAAAATTCAAATTGATGTCTGGGATATATATGCGGAACGAGAAGTCGATTCACTCTCAGATGGTGAATTTGTCACCCTTCCGCATGTCATGACTACCTTCTTTTTTGTTTCCCTTACACTGAGTGCGCTGGAAGTTACAACAGGAGGTCTGCAATGGCTCAACCTACCCCCGTGCGTGCTAACACTGTCAGCAGCATGGTGTGCAGCAAGAGGCATGGCTGTAAGCGGTAAACCTATTCTGTCACGAGTCTCACGACCGCCCCCAGGAAACTCTGGAAGAGGCTCTCACAGCCGTGTGGGAGTGTGTGGTAGCAAGTGGGTTATGGGTGTTGTCATGGGCCTCGGGCCATACCGTGCACAAACGGAATCGAAGCAGCAGCCTTGGCCACAAGACCCAAGTCTCTTACCCGCGACAGCCAGGACACGGTGTTCAAAAGTGCAACCATACCGCTCGTGATATCCACCCCACCCCTGCAAGGCTGTAGTGTCCTACTGGAGAGTCGATACAGACACACAGAGGCAACACAACACGGATGCAGCAATTCTCGCGAAGTAACTTAAAACCCCCCACTAGTATATTGCCTGGTCACCACAGAGGGGACTTAGGATGACCGCCAGTGGGTTGCACGGGAGCTTCCCCCAGTAATCGTGGATCCGTAACTCTACGCCTTTGCCTCAGGCCCCTCGCGTGCACACATGGAACAGAAACCCTTGGTCACAAGAACCAAGTCTTTAAAACAATACAGGCAACCACGGTTTTTGGAAGTAGATCGATCGATCATGTCGGGCCCACCCCTGCAGGGGCAACTGGGGTCCGCGACCTCGGAGGATACAGGCGTCCGGAGTAAAGAGATTTATACTTGTGGTAAACCAAGGGAAAATCCAGTACTTATCATAGCGAGTAAATTTAAATTTCTGTCGACAGCGTTCGGATGGATGCTATGGTCAGCTACCGCCTTCCCCCGAATAGAACGTACGTTCATTTTCACAGAACGTATTTGTCCCAACTGTCGGTCCAGATGCAGTGAAAATGACAGTACGTTCTGTTCGGGTGAAGATGGGTAGAGGTGAGAGAAGGTTTAGCAAAATCTCTACCAATGGTCATTGGTCAGTCTTCTGTACTCGTAACATGTCCAAACACGACTGAGAAACATCATACTGAAGGAAAGGAGGAAGCATAAGAGGGGAAAAGTCATAAAGGTCTCTTACCCACGACGAAACCTTTGTATCCATTTCCCCCCATACGGGGAAAAAAGTGCCGCAGGTCCAAAATCACTTTTGGTGTCATTTTCGCACCCAAGCTGGGCAGGTAACGGCCGCTGTGTAAAAATGGCGGGAAAGTGTTTTGCAGGGTGCAAAAATGATACCAAAAGTGATTTGGGGGCCTGCAGCGCCTTTTTCCTCGTTTGGGGGGAAATGGATACAAAGGTTTCATCGCGGGAAGGGAGGTTTGGGGCCTCGCTGCACTACTCTTGAAATGCACAAAAGACAAAAATCAAGGCCGTGTATGTTTCCATATTCTAGCGGAAGATTCACTCTCGTTTTGCACATTTCGAGAGTAGTGCAACGAGGCCTTTTACGACTCTTACCACATAAGAGCATGTAAACTACCGTAACTACGGTATGAATCTGCTCAGTGCTCTCTGAGAGCCATACTGACATCGAGGTGTCATTGGATACATTTTTCAGCGTGTAACCAGCTATTAATCTCCGAGAAGTACTGGTTTCTGGATTCGAAAAACAGAATCGATCTGGTAAGGGGAAAAACAAAAGAAAAAGAAACAAAGGGGATCTGGTCTCCCACAGAAAGTGGGGGAAAGGTTGCATTCGAAGGGTAGGTTCCAAGAATCCAAAAGCTGAAATGGAGGTATCTAAAAGTGGAAAGTGCAGAATGTCCATGGAACATCCGTTAAAATTCGAACAATACACATAGAAAAGATTAGCATGGCCCCTGCACAGGATGACACAGAAACCGAGAAATGGTTAAGGAGTACAGATTTCCACAGATAAAACGGGCAGATGCTGCGTGTAGGTGCGCATTGCCGGATAAAACGGGCAGATTGCCACATATAACAATTGTGTACTTTGTTGCACGTTTGTAAGGCAGACACAGAGTTACGAAGTGTAGCTGGTAGAAAGCGACCTAGCCACAAACAAAGGAGAGAGAGAGAGAGAGAGAGAGAGAGAGAGAGAGAGAGAGAGAGAGAGAGAGAGAGAGAGAGCAAATAAAACACTTCAGAATTCTAAGTTAGTAATGCCATGAAAAGTTGAAAACTGCTCTGAAAGTTCGAGATTCGGCAGACTTATGCGTCATGGAATTTCATGAAGTCTAAGTCAGATCTAAGAACAACCTGAATTCTGTAGTATTCTGGCTACCGAACAAATCGTGTGCAATAACAGGAAAGTGGAAATGTTTTCACTACGTAAATGCCAAGTAACATCCAAAAACTGGTGTGGTTCATGATAACAAGACGCTCTCTCTCTCTCTCTCTCTCTCTCTCTCTCTCTCTCTCTCTCTCTCTCTCTCTCTCTCTCTCTCTCTCTCTCTCTCTCTCTCTCCCCACCATATCTCCTACTTAAATGAAAGTGCAACTCGCAAAAAGAAATCTTGCAATATTGTTCTATCGACGGACCTCAATCTACCTCTTTCCCCATGGCTGGCAGTACTAATTACAGGTGCGGCTATTATAATTCACCCTGCTGTGTAATTTTCCGTCTTCCACCTAACGCGGGGTGCTACGTGTAATTGTTCTTCTGTAAACGAGTGCACCCAGTCCAATTCCAGCGTACCCGTGGAGGCAAGTGCACTCGTGTACAGAAGAAAACACACGGAGCACTCTTGTTCACAAGAACAAGAACAAGAACAAGAACATGAGTGCACTACTCTACTGATCTTCTGCTTTCATACCTGTCGCTAAATAATGTCTCCTTTCTTCGGCCGATCCACTGCAGTTACCCGAAGGTCTGCTCCGTCTTCACGACGATGCAGGCCCTAGGGTTCTTGTGCCCGTTGTTGAAGTTTCCTCCGTCCTGGTACTGCGCCGCGCTGATCTGGACCTTGATGCACGCGTTCAGGAAGTCGCCGGAATTGCCGACGTTGAACTCGCGAGACGCGAGGTGCCTGCCATTGCCGTACAGCCGATGCTGGCACGCATCCGTGTTCCACGTCTGTCCCTGGAGAATCGCGCAGTTGGCCGAGTTCACAACCTTCACGGGCCGAGTGTCGTACCTGCACATCGGAGTCGACCACACATCGCGTTAAATTTTGTCATAAACAACATCGCAAAACCTTTCAATTAATGTATTGGCGCGGCAGTCGAGAGCCCATCTCATCACATCATGCCATGGATCGCTCCGCACCTGAGATATCATCCCCACTCGAGGACCGGCCACGTCGAGCTGCTTCACCAACGGAAGTAATTCAAAACTGTTCAAACGCAAAGCTGACTCCAAATCCGCATGCAACCAGATGAACAGAATAAAACAATTCTGTGGAAAGTTGATTGATGGGAGAAAACAAGAAGGTGGCAGTCAGACAACCGGGCGGTAGGGGATATTAGGAGCAGATAACACGGACTGAGATGGCGGCCGAGGTCAGGCGCTGCGGGAGGGAGCAGCTGCTCATTAGGCTCGTCGATTCCCTCTTTCGTCCAGGACATTTATTTATGCAAGAGAAGCAATATCATAAAAATTATAGGAAAAGGAAGACACAGAGCCGACTTCCCCCTAATGAAACGCCCCGTCATAATCCTTGCATCTCGACAAAAAGTGACTTGGCGTTCTATTCGGCTGACGGTAGAGGTTATGACTGTGCGGTCCTTCGGATGGAAAAGGAAGAAAAGCCAGAGCGATGAACGGAAGAAAGAAGTCGACGGGAATCCGAAGGTTATCCACAAACAGACATCGAACGGAAGAAAGAGGAAGACGGGGATCGGAAGGTAGCAACAAACAGACGACGAAAGGAATAAAAAGAAGAAGACAGCAATCGAGCAGGAATCGGATTACGACATTGTAGAGTGTGCGACTGTATGGTACGTAATGCAGAACGAAGGAAAGCCAGAGCGACGTAAGACCGGAGCAACGTGCGATGAACGGAGGGAGGAAGAAGGGGAGACAGTAAACGAAAGCAAGACAAGACGAGCAGGATTTTATTGGTTGATGGTGTTGTGGCGGTCGTGTCTCACCCAACTCGGTGCAGAATATGGCCGCATCGGACGTAGATGGTATTGTCTCCMTTACGGATGAGCTTGATCTTCGGCACGTTGTTCTCGTGACCATAAAAGTAGAAATCGCAGCCCTTCAGCGCCGTGTCGCAGGACGACGGACAGCCGCCACAACCCGATGTCAGGCGGCGGAGACCATGGACGGATGGGATCGCGGCGCAGAGAGCAAGGCAAACTAGCCCCATGGCCAGCAACACATCACAGCTCGGACGCGCCATCGTAGAGTACCTACTTCGCGCGAGCGGCGCCTGAGCGAGAGGGGCAGATAGTACAGAGGGGGAGCTTGGGAGAAAGAGCACGCTCCTGGTGAATGACGGAATTGAGGTATGCGTATGCTCTCCTCCGAATCGAGACTACTATGACCGTCCGCATCACCATATGTTTATATATACTTTATCGATAAGATCCACATCGTGCAACCATGAGCATCCCCAAAGACGTTGAATGCATTTAGTCATCCTGGATGTCGAGATGCATCTAAAATTGTGGCGGATGCCAAATGGCGAGTGGTGCAACTCACACGTTTCTTTTGTTTTTGCGTGAGAGAGAGCGCATAAATTCCACGATTTTTTATTTTTTTTGTTTTTGAAAAAAAAACAAAAGGGAGATGGCCTTGACACGGCACACGACACAAAAACGAAACGAGTGCATCTGCCAGCGAAAGGTGGCAAAATACAGTCGTTACTATTTATAGCAAACGGATGAACCTGGCCATTTTATGCCAGAAGATGCACGCGTTCCGTTTTTCGTTTCGTGTGCCGAGCGGCAACGCCCTCGATCTTGTGTCTAATCTGACACCGGGTGGCCTTGTTGCCTTCAGGGAACCCCCACTGGGGGACACCGGCCAGGGGACAGCCGGTAGCAGAGGGGCCGAGCATCATCTGAGTGGCTAAGGTAGTCGCTGTGCCTCCCCGATTACCCCTCCCCCATGAACATTAGCAGAGACTGCTTTTTAATGCCAATCGGGGGCACCAACTGGCTACCTCTAGTTGGCGGGCGCCAAGCTTGCCCACGAAGGTATAGGAGGCCAATGGGGATTGAGCCCAAGACCTCCTGCATGCCACTTGCGTGGCTTACCAACAGAGGGCATACTCACACCCGAACCAAAAGTCGAAATTTTGAGGCATTTGGGTAGGGCTATTTTCAGACTTTGCCCAGGAGGGTACATGAGGTTGGTTGGGATTGAACCTAGGACCTCCTGAATAACACTTGCGTGCCTTACCAACCAAGGGCATACTCACACAAGAACAGAAAGTCTCAAAATCTTTAAGGCATTTGGGTAGGGCCTATTTCGGACTTTTGGTCACACGGCGGAGGACTTCTTCCAGAAAGGAAGAAGCGGCGGCGGTGACACTTACCCCCTCTGGGCAAGTGTGTGTAGAGTCACACGGGTGAGGACTAAAAAAGTAGATGGTTTTCAAAAAAAAAAAAAAAAAAGTAGATGGAGTTTTTTTTTTTTTTTTTTAACGCCAAAATAAGGTAAAGAAAGTACCTGGACTTTTTAGATTTTTCTTAACACCGTACATGGGCCTCTCTGCACTGCACTCCAAATGTGCAAAAGGTAACTGAACCCACCACTAGAACATGGATAGATACATTGCCTTCTTTTTTGTCTTTCTTTTGGCAGGCTGTTTTCTTGGGCGATGATTTTTTGCAATAAGGAAAGATGGGGGAAAAAAAATTGAAATGTCATTTGAGACCACCCTGGACGTGGTCTCAAAAAGGGTCCTCCCGTGTCCCCGCAGGCTGCCGACAAAAGGGTCACCTTTTGAGGCATTTGGGTAGCGGGTCTCTCCAGTGTGACCCAAAAACTGACTCAAACTTTGGGACTTAAGGTCATTTGGTCCTCGTGTGAGTATGCCCTGAGCTAGTCCGTTGGATTAAATTCCATGGGTTTTGAAAGGAGGAGATGGGAAAAAAAAAAGGAGAAAATGGGGAGTTCCCTCCACCACTCACCAAATGAGTGGAGTGAAAATGGATCTTCATCTAGAACGTGGGATGATACACTGCGATAATTTGTTTCTTTTTGTGCATGTGGTGAGTAATTGAGACCTCACAATCGGAACCCGTTGCCTAAAGCCATTGCCCAGTTTCGGCTATTAGCTAGAAATCGGGTCTCCTGTCCCCAAAAAAAGGGAGGGGAAGATTAAGGGCCACATTGGAGAAAAACTTTGGGAGTACTCCCGAACGTCAGTGCGCTTCGTCACATTGAACTCCGGACTTGGGGCGCTCTCTGATTTGGAGTCCAGGAGGCTCAGTTCAGACAGAGACTGTCCAGCACTAGCATGTGGCAACGAAAACTGTGAGGAGAATGCATGTCTGCGGACGAGTTCTCCGGTCAAAACATAGGCCTCTGTGACAGGTCCTCCGAAAATGGCCTTTTAAAGTCAGGAGGCTCAAGCGATTTCAGGAGTGCTCTCGGGCAGCTCCCAAATTCAATCTGACAAATTGAACTCCGGAGCTGGTGTGGAGAAGCTGCACTCACGAAAATAGCCAAGTCGGGAGTAGTGAGGCAAGGTCCTAAGTCACCCAGGTAAAAAAAATAATTAAAAAAAAAAAAAAAAAAAAGGCATCCTGCTCTAGCCCAAACTTTACCCTATTCTTCCTGTATTCAAACAGAAGTACAAATCCCAACTTTGACTGTCCATCTTCTCACTCAAATAACGAAACAGAATAGAGGGCAGAAATGCCAGCCCAACAGTCCCGAATTAGGCACAGGGCGGGGAGGAGTTCTGGGGGCGTACTCACACGGGGACCTGTTGACCTTAAAATTTAATCCCAAAATTTGAGGCAGTTTTCAGGTCAAATTGGCTACCCAAATGAACTTTCGGTGACCCTTTTGTCAACAACTTGTAGGGGCGCAAGATGACAATTTTCGAGAGTCTCAGGGCATACTCACACGAGGACTAGAAGTCTCAAAATTTCGAGGCATTTGGGGAAAGCCTATTTCAGACTTTAGGTCCTCGTGTGGTGACATGGGCGGACTTCGTCCAGAAAGGATGAAGTTGCGGCCCTGACACTTACCAATGTTGCCATTGGCAAGTGTGCGTAGTCACACGGGTGAGTACCTAAAGAGAAGATGAAATTTCTTATTTTTTAAACACACCGAAATAATGTTAGGAAGTATATGGGTTTTTCTTTTTTTTCATACAACGTATATGGGTCATGTTGCACTACTCTCTAAATGTGCAAAATTGAGACTAAATACATTGTTAGAAATAAGATACATACATTGCTATATTTTTTATCTTTTGTTCGGCAAGCTGTGAGAAGCGGTTAATGAAAGAACCAAAATTCGGCGAATTTTGACGAATGTTTTATCATAACTGCTATATTTCCCTGAATTTTTACTTCTTCTTTTTTTGCGTGAGATGTATGTGCTTTAGGGTGTATCTCTATTCGATTTTGATGTATTTAGACGGTAATAAAAAAGTTGGCCAAAACGCCGGACCCGAAGAAAAATTTGGCGAACTTTGAAAACTACTCCGAATAAGGTTTTATTGTGCTCTTGAGGTTTTTTTTTTTTTTTTTGTCTATTCGGTTTTGTTATGTTTGTATTACGACCATGCATAGTTTGTTGTATTATGACAGTGCATAGTTTGTTTGCAAAATTTTTGACATCATTGCTTATAGTGATGTGGCAAAAAACCTGAATTTTTAGCCTTTCATTAACCACTTGTGACAAATTACTGATCGAGGACAAATGACCCTCGATCGTTTTGTTGTCGAGCAATATGCTAAGATGTCCAAAGGATAACAGGCTAAAGAAGGGGAGAAGGTAAAATCTTCCGAGAAACAAGACGAAAAGAAGGTAGAATCGTCTGGGAAACAAGACGAATTGACAAAACAAATAATGGACTCCGACGACACTGTCCGACAATTTCAAGCTGCATTGGAAGCATAAATAAAAAAGAAAGAAGCCTATAAGAAAGAAATAAATGAAAAATAAGAGAAGGCAAAGAAAATATAATTAAAAAAAAAATAAATCATATGAATGTGGAGGTTTCAGAAGTTGACTAGACGTTAGTCCTGCAGAATATGATGGCTTACCTCGCCCACTTGGAAATCAAAATTGACAACGCCACCACCGAATTTCGGATGGTGATACGATTGATTAAGGGAAAAAACAAGGTAGTGCATGAGCAGGTGCCCGAGGAAAAGAAGAACCGCAAAAAAATTGATGAAAGATGCCATGAAGTCTTGAAAAGAACCCGAGGACCGAAAAGAAGAACCGACAAAGAAAGAAAAGTAGGCAAAGAAAAAACTCGAACCTGCTAAGAAGGGAGTTGCAAAGAAAGAAAAGGGGGAATGCCCCAAGAAGAAATAAAAGGTAAAGATGAAACTTCATCTTACTTACAACGGAAAGCGAGGGGAACATTTGCTACTGTGGAGAGCAGAAATTCGAACCAACTGTAGTACGTGTCTTGTGGAACCAGAGCGTCAAGTCGCATTCTAAACTTCATGTTTGGGCTACGAGTCCCCCGCGGAGACAGCCATATGCGGCCAAGGCCGCGACCACGACATCGTAGCCATTGCCACACGGCCACAACACTTTGCGGCCTTGTAGTGGCCATTGTGGGGAGTGGGGGCGAGAGTTTTCGAAGTTGATGGGGCTTGCGCAACCCCAACCCCATCTCCTCACAGGAGAAAAAAAAAAAAAAAACGAAATTTCGGGAGGGGGTGGGTTCGGGGTAAAAATGAAGTTTCAAAATAAATAAATAAAAAATCTTGATTGATTAATTGATTGATTGCAGGGAGGGGGGTTACACCCCCCCCCCCTCTGCACACACACACACACACCTGTCTCTTATACACATCTAGATGTTTTTTTTTTGCATGTCGTGAGGTGAGCATAGGTT